AAGATACTAGTAGCGGAGAAAAAATATAACTGATCATAAAGGAATACCCACGGATCCCTTCTTGGATCGCAATTGGCCTGCCAATAATGGATTGATAGCATATAGCCAATCATACATCTGAAATCATCGATGAATTTGTTAAAAAAGAGTGACGCTTTAGATTTTGATGAAAGCATCAACAGCACCTATAGATGTCATCAAATCAATGCAAGTAAAATTGATAAACAGCCTAATAAAATGTAATTTCAGATAAGGTAGTATTGGTTGTCAGAGAAGGAAAAACTAACTTGATCGTCCACTGTCTGCATCAAGAAACCGCGATGATTTGTGCACACTGAAAAGGTATTCGGTACCTTAAGCATCGCTTGCTGATCTTCCGAATATTCCACTCGTGCATTTGCTAGATTTATTATACCACGAATTACCTAAAAGTTTAAGCGTTTGTCGCGATTAAACGCGAAGAGATCCCGTGACAAGAAAAATATAAAGGATTATAAGTGAATGTGTGGTGATATACTACTAATTTGCATGTACTAAATTGGATCGAGACTAAGATCAAAAATCATCCAAAGTCTTTTCTGTCTCAATGAAACGTTATCAGTCCATAGAATTGTATACATGCTTATTATTTAGTAATATGTGCTAAGAGCCCTTATTTATGTACAAGGGCGCTAATCCTTGTAATTGTAAAACCAATCTTTGCAGGATGTATATATGAACTTTGTACATAGCAGGAAAACATTCTTCCTTTCATTTATTCTTCAGATTGTATCTTCGAAATTCATCTTGTAACGACGTTTTTGGAGTTAGCTTTACGCGTTGTGTTTTACAATTTAATAATTAACTTAATGATTATTCTACGCTAATATTGTTTCATTTATCTAAGTTGAGGTGAAAACTCTGGTGTTTTCACTCTGGTGCAACTCTGGTGTTACGTTGCACAAAATACTTTCAAGCATACGAAATTCCCCACTTTACCCTGGCGAAAAGTAAACCGTTAATATTTCATGTAGTAAAATAAAAGAGTAGGAAATACTTTTAATCTAAGTGTTTCATATTCCAACTTAAATTAAGGGAAATTAGAAAATTTTAATTTATAAGTGCATGAAATATAATGATAAAAGGACCAAATCTCTGTCATCACGAAACAATAGAATATATGGCCTCCTGACAACCACCCATCGCTTTACCCAACCTTGCGTCTTTTCTTCTAAGAAGTTCATGTAACCTTTCTTGGATACAACGATTCCCACACGCTCTTCTGTCACCTGTAACTTTAGTAAACTTCACGTCAATTTAGCTTATCGATATTACTTTAAACGGTAAACTGCAATCAATTCCCTTGTTCTTTTCTCCATATTAGCATAAATTCGATTAATTCATTCCCGAATCCTAAACTCCTTAATCTCAATCTTTACTACACCAATATCACACAATATTGATTTTAGCAGTTTCACTAGTCCCACCACTTATTCTCACCATCAATTCTTCCCTCTAGTTCTTATCCAATTCTTCTAACAGCTTAAAATTTTATTCATTACTGTAAAGCCGAACATGAAAACAAATAAAAATTTAAACTGCAAATTGTCTTATGCTTTCTAAAAAAACTGGAGTGAAGCTACCTCAGGAACTAGTAAAGACATTTGTGAAATCCGACTTCCACTCATCGATCGATGCAAGCCATCGTTCGTCTCAGTGGAACTAAGTACCAGATTTTGATTTGATTTTGACTTCATTTTATTTAAAAATTCAAGCGATAATGAAGAATTAACCATTAAATTCCTGAAAGAGAATTTTAGAAAATCCAAACCTTTGTAGGTCCCTCTGTTTTACAAAAACGCTTAGAAGCATTTCGGCAAAATGAAAAGGAAGATGTTGAAATCCATCCTATGGATCCAGGAAAAAATTAATCAGTGAAACATATTTTTTCAGCTTTTTTAATCTTTAAAATTTTTCGTGGTATTTTTTATTGAATTATTTTGTTTACAAACTGAATTTCATCTAACTTATCGGAAGTAGGACTTGTGACACTGTCTCCGAGTGAAGATGACGTCTGGTCGCTCTGATCCATTGTCTGCAATAAAAATTATCATTGTAATACAGCGCATTTAAACCTTAATGAAACTCAAATATATAAGAAGGAAATCGGAATAACGGAAACAACATTCAGAAGTACCAAAACTCAAATAAAAAGTAACCTTTCCAGTGGGTGGTTCTTTATTTATCGGTATTCTTTGCTTGATGAGATGAAGTACTTTTTGTGCTAAACTCGCTTCCTTCTCTGTCAACTTACAAGTTGCCGGAATCGGATGTTTTGGTGTTGTTGGGGAAAGTGGTGTTTTGATATCATTTTCCTCTCCAACATTCTTCTTCCCCGATTTCAGCTTGTTTCGAAGACGAAGAAATAGCCTAACGCGTTCTACCTGAAACCTTTCAATAAAATATCCGTTATGACACTGCAATATCACTGGATATCTGTTATTCTCTATCAGTACCCATTAAACAATCTGCAATAGCTTTATCATATACTTGTTGCAATCGTGTCAGTCTTTCCAGCTCCCATTGATGCTCGAATATAAGTGAATCACCACGCGGACGCCATAAGCCAAGATTCTCCTCGCCTCGAACGTATGCGGACGAAGTATCCAATACGCGACGTTGCCTCCGTGCAGCTCCTATTGTTGGATGAAAATTTGTTAGCTATAGACAACTTTGGACATACCATAAAACATTAGCAGGAATGAATTCATGTCATAGTATAGTTGTAATTAATACGAATATATTGCTATCAGTTTCGTTTCAATTTCAGAAGAATGCATAAAAATATGCAAAATCAAGGAGGCTTCATTGGCTGTTTGACTAGCAGCCAAAGTTTTTCACTTTTTGAGAAATCTGAAATCTGGAAAAAACGAAAGCAGTTTGTTTTTAAGTTTCTAAATTTTAAAATTTTAACAGAGAATTTATGCAAATAATACCACAAGGTAGCAAGTAAATACATGTAACGAAAAGAAAGAAAGAACTTAAAAGCACATCCGACAGCACACCTGGACTACCTTTATCGAGAGCTTCCTTGACGGTAAGTTCGTAAACACCAGGTACACGATTCATTTCTGGACTCTTGCTTATTCCACCAATCAGTGACCGACAAAACCTTAATTTGTAAATTTGCTAAACAACAATTATTATTTAATATCACCTGATGCAAGCAAAAGGATCTTTCTAATCTTACCATGAAGCTCAAATTTTTGCCAGGGAAACGGTCTTTTTTTTTCAAGGAGACAACAAATCAAAAACTTCATGAAATGACGAGAATTTCTTTGCTGAGATATATCGTAACGTAGAACAGTTGTAAGATTTTTGGCTGGTTATAGTAATTTCTTGAACGCTTTTATGGTGTTGAATGTAAGAGCATTTTTTATTTCATGCAAGCTTGTATTTATATATTAAATATTCTAAAAAGTAATTCATTCTTGCTTGAATCAGTCTTAGTAAGTGTCATTTGGAACAAGTGAGCAGAAAGTAAGGTAATTTAGTTAGCAAATAAGCAAAAGGAAATGAGCAAATAATTAAGTGAACAAGTAAGGTTGTTGTTAGTTCATTTCACTTGTTTGCTGATTTCATTTTTGTTTCACAATGTCTAGTGGGTTTGAATTAGTCCGCATATCTACAAACAGCTAAGCGTTAAATGAGTGGGAGTAATTAGGTGAAGGTAAAAAAAAAAGGAAAAGCAAGCGAGAGGTTCGTTTTGTTGCGTTTTGTGCTGTTCTCAAAATAACCTTAAAAAGCATATAATAAGGCCGTATTTGTATAGGGCGACTATTGTTGGTAACCTGCTGGCGGCTGAGATTTTCGAATCTCTGGCATAAATCATCATGCAAAGATCCTTCGTAATCACTGCCGGTTGAGTACAATTCTCCAGCTCCATGTAAGCAGATAGCGTCATATACACTTGTTCACCGTAGTTTGATACCTTATTAAGAAGAGGAGAATTATGTAATGAACTGTCCCAAGCTGCTTCAAACTGGAAGAATACCCTGGAAAATATGGGGAATTTATGACTTTTTAAATGAAAGTTCAGACTAACTTCAACAGTGAAGTAATCCTTCGTTTCTCTTTGGAACTGAAATATAACTGAACAAAACACATTTTTCATGGAAATGTAGTGATAAGTTCTGTCATATGGTTCGTTTTTATTGATACAGGGAATCTCGAAATAGTTTTGAACTTTTACTATTTGTTCATACAAGAAAATACATACCTATCATCCATTGAAAATTCTAGGAATGTCCCTGGAAACAGCCCTAAAGATAGTACGTCTACATCTTCACCACTCCATTCTGGCGTTGATCGTATCCGACCAA